TCTGTAGTGGTGGGTGACAGAAAGTAAAAGCCAGAGAAACGAGGAAGACCCTGGGTGCAGCAGCAGCCAGAGCAATGAGGGGGAGCAGTGGCCATGGGGAGCCCACGGTATAAGCTAGCTGCTTTCAAACTAAAATTCATTCCATCCTGGGTTTCTCATACCACAGTGATAACAAATGGACAATTCCAAAAGGAACTTAAGTGCCTGGCACTCTTGAGCTTCCTTCTGCTCTTCTGTGGCATGGAGCTTCTTTGCCATAGCAGGTCAGAGCTGTTCTGAGGCCTCAGCAAGTGTCCTGGCCTTATGAAACCTGTAGCCACTCCCCCCTGGGTCACCTGACCCCCCACTTCCTCCCCACCCCAGAACTGTCAGTCACAGCCCTGATTGTGTTTTCTGCACCTGGGACCATTTTTATTAAAGGCCTCTCCACTCCTAACAGTCCCTCCAGCGGCCTGGAGCCAGCCTCTCTGGATCTCTCTTCTTCAGAAATGGGATAGGGGCCCCATTACACTTGTATTGCAACCATTATGTTTGACGATTCTGTAGCATCATAACTGTATATGGGTATCCCTTGATAGCAGTACAGTTGTTATGTTTATCTATACCTAGAGATTATCAAAATGGGTGAAATAAGATTTAGCTACAAAAAATGGCACTGAATGGATTCAGGTTCACTCCACAGTTGTGGCCTGTCTAGTGAATATCCTGATTTCTGAAAGATGCTGTATGGCAGCATAGAGTTCAGTGTACACATTCATTTTTTTTACTTGATGCCAGTTTCTAAGTCAAATGCAAACTGTAATACTACAGTCTTGTAGTCCTCCCTCCAGAGGCCAGAAGTTACCTTCCTCATGGCATTAGGATAACCTGCTTGCTAATTACCCAGAGGTGGAATCAATGTGAACTATTTCTAGGAAGAACTATTTTTATAACTAGTTCTTTGAGATGGTGTTTTCTCATAGATTCTAAGACCTACTTTACCTCCTGGTTGACAGGAGTCTTCTGGTTGATGAAGGAACTGAATGAAGATTGTGACTGTCCCACTCATTATTTCTTTTATTATAGAAAGCGAGCAGTGCAAAAAGTTGCAGTCATAAGGATGTTGCTAATCAAAATAATCAGAATTTACATGCACAAGGCTTAAGCAGTTAAACTTGCACTTTTTACCTCCCAGATTGAGTAAAGGCATTCTGTTGGCAGTGGTCCTCTAATAAAGACAATGAAACAATAGTATATTAACATTTGGGGACAGATATGGTGGTGAAATATAACATTTTATCGCAATATTACCTTGGACATTAGCCATTTCCATTTCCTTATGCATAAATAAATATGATAGTCAAAATAATTTTCCCAGCCATGGACTGGTTAGGATGCATATTCTCAAATTACATCACTTTGGGTAGTTTAGACTTTCTGTAATGTTTTAAATTAGTAAAAAAATATAACTTGAGGTAGATTCAATACTTTGGGCAACGTATTCCAGCCTTGAGTAAAACTAAATCTTGTAATATAGTTTTCTATTATACTGCAATCTGGTGAAATGAAATAAACCATGGCACAGTATTTTAATACAATTCACATACACATTAGATCAGCACTTTGCCTTGGCCTGTTTATATGAATTCTAGCTGAAGAAGGAACAAACTTTTCCTTTCATTCCTCCAGCTAGAATTGTGTATATCTAATGGGGAACTGGAACTCTTTTCCTGAAAAGGAATAAGGAATAAAGGGAGAGAGATTAAATGAACTTTACTCCTTATAGCAAATAACCTCAATTGGCTTTTGCTTCTCGCTAATAAAATACTGAATGTTTTTAATTTTTTTTCTTTAAAAAAAATACAGAGTAAAATAGTATCCTATATAGTACATAAATATTTGTGTTCAGGGAATTCAGAATAAATTGATCTCTACGTAGCCAAATTTTTTATTCCAAATTTATTTGAGCAGGGGGTTGAACTAGATGACCTCCTGAGGTCCCTCACAACCCTAATTGTCTATGAATCTAAGTAACTCAGATATTTTCATAAACTCAGTATTTCTGTAAACAGACGGGAGGGAACTAAACTCAAGACGGCGGGTAGCTTCTGTTGGTTCCTTTACCTAGTTGTCCATCGTATGAGCTTCAAGTTCAATACAGTAGTTTTGGAATAGACATTATTATGGTTACCACAGCACGTTTCTCATTCGTAGCAAGCATTGCTTTTTGAGGTGTCAGTTAAGCACTGCAAGATGCAGGCAGTTTGGCTTGTAGTTTCAGGAGACTTAGCTGGAACACCCAATATGTGCTTCTTTCTAAGACAGGATTTCTCTAGCAATGATCTGCTTTCACCTCCTGACAATTGCGCTGTATGATTTTTTTTTCCCTTGACCTTTTCTTTCTCCCATGATTAAATTTGACTGTGGTTTTTATAGCATTGATTCAACACCATCTAGTTTTCTTTTTATACTGCCTTTCTAAAATTGGATAGTCCCTGACCGGTGTGGAGACAGATTTCACATGGTGACTTTACCTTTGGCTAAGTCCTAGCATTGTACTTAAATGTCTTCAAAGCAGATTTTTTTTTGCCTTTGACTTGCTTGCAAATCTAATCTAAAAAATATACTAATTTTTCCTTTAGTGAGGTATAGCCTAAGTAGCTGGAGAAAAGCTATAGGAGACTCAGGGCTTCTTATTTATTTTGGAAATCTTGTTTGACCTCAGCGCCCCTAAACAGCAGTGTCTGGCCCCGTTCTCTTCAGGCAGTTGAATACAAAACAGCTTATACAAGTCAGTTTTTATGCATCAGGGTAGTGCTTGTCCTCACCCTCTGCTGTTTCCTTTCCCTAACTCCTTTTATTTTTTTAAAGTGTGAGTCCGACTTAGCTACATCTCCCCTTGGTGGAGGCACTCCCCTTCTGGACTTCAAAAACTCCTGTTAGGATTTAACAGTCCTTCTGGTTTGGCAGGGCTTTCTTTTAGGGACATTGCTTGGAGAGCATGCATCCAAGCTAAGAGATTATTTCTAGGAGTTATTGATAAATGTAGACTCCTTTTGAGGCTTTAAAAAAGATGATACTATATCTTGACAGCTCTTCTATAGAATTATTTTTCTAGTGTTTCAGATTTTGAATTCAGTATACTAGAGGCATTTTTGCATGTGAAATTTTCTATGAAAATGAGAGGTGTTGTTAATCTATACATTGTCCAGAAAAGAGTGGTCCTTGTCAACCTATTGACAAAAATCCTATAAGTAGAAGTTGGGAGCAGCAAAAAGGGAAAGGTGTAGACTTATAGTCCTGTGACATACATAGTCTCATAGCACTCTTGGCTATCTTGTCTAGAACATCAGAGATGTTAGTTTTGTCTACACTGGAATCAGACATGTGATTCAGTATGTGTGCAGTATGTGTAGGCCTATCCAACATGTTCTGCTTGGCTACCAAGAGCAGTGAGGGTATAATAGGTTGTGTTTCACTATTGGCAAGCTGCCTGAATAGGTTGTTAAAGGTGCGACAGAGGGATTTCACTGCCATTGATAACCACTTTATTTAACTAAAGCTAAATCAAGTATGCCTTCAAAAGCTGAAAGTAAAGTTTCTGATTATATTGTAGACATAGCCCACTGAAGAACAAATTAAACTTTAATCATTGTTAGATTAAAGGCAAGGTGCAGAGTAGCATGTCCCTTTAAAGGACAAGGGCTCGGGTCAGCTAGCTCTTTACTTCTTCAGTTGAGAAATGGTCAAATGTTCCCTCTAAAGGTCTGAGAGAAGAGATGCAGAGGGGCTGTGGGAAGAGGAAAGGCTCCTGCACTAGACCCTGAAGCAGGGAAACTAAAGCGAATTAACCTTTTTTGAAGCATTAGCTCAGGGTCCGCAAAGAAACTGCCATGTCTATTCTGCTTGAGTTTTTTTTATGCTGATAATGAGACTGTTCCTTGAAGGAGATTTGCATGTGTCAGTGAACTCTTCCTAAGATGTGGAAACAGGGCAGTTGCCTCGCACACAGGCATTTAGCTGCATACACGAGACAAAGACTATTGTAAGAGAAATCTGCACATTAACTGCTAGAGCAGCATGAAACAAATCTAAGCCAGGAATAACCAGAGTTACTCACTCTGGGAGCCATAGCCGATCCTCCACTGAAGTTCAAGAGCTGGAGGGGGGAGTTGCTGAGTGACCCAGGGTGGAGGTGACCCCCCCCCTTGCACTGTCGAGCCACTCTGGCTTTCCTCATAGGGAACATGCCCCAGGGTAAGCGTCATGGCTGCAGCCTCAGAGCCACCATGGGGGAAATGTGAGCAGTGCTTCAGCCAATCTCTGGAGAACCTCAAATACTGTGCCGGCAAGCCACGTGCAGCTCATGAGCCACAATTTAGCCACCATGGGTCTATGCGTTACCCCTGGAAAAAAAGGTGCTACCTTAAACTCTAGTCAAAAGGTGGAAGGTTGTAGAGGTAGAGAGATTGGTGTTCAGTTTAAGCCAATACTATTGTCTAAGCAAAGTAAATTTACACGTTTATTGAAAGAGGAGTAAATTGTTTATAACAAGTGTCAATTTTCACCTAATTGCACTTGCAGTTTTTTAACAAATTGACTGGAAATGTTTGTGTGTGTTTATATTGGAAAGTAACATATGTCTTACCAATTTATGGTCCACCTCTTCTAGAATCTTATTATACACTCATCATTTGTGAGCAAACTGTTAAGATGTGTCTTGAAAACAGATATTTTTATCGTAACTTTTACTGCTAAGTTATTTCCTCTTCTAGATCACAGTATTACTAAAAGCTGAACTCATGATCTTCTCTCCCCTCCCTCCCATCTTTAATTTTTTTTTCTAGTAAACCATTATGTTAAAGGACAATACTTATTACATACTGCTGTTTGATTTAAAAGATCAAAGCTATTTTCTGAACAGTTTTGATTAACTGTGAAGACTCTTGATGTTCAAAACTAATAAGTATACTAAAGCATTGCCAAGATTAATATGGAGATGACCCTATGCTTATTTTCAGAATTGCAGGGGGGCGAATTCTATCAACAGTCAAGATGCATTTGATAAAAGGCCGAAACAGCAGGGATCCTTTCTGTCAAGCAGCTGAGGAAGTTGTACATGATTTGGATTTAAGGATTAAAAATATTATCAATTCTCAACATGAAGCCATGACTGCTAGCACCACTGGAATCAGTCCAGCCCGGGTAATAGGCCTCCTTTTGTTCTCCTATTATTTAGCTTTACAAGAAAGCAAAGGTCTTTTTGGTAACTTGAAATATAGTATAATCCTTTTCCAATTACACAGAATATGGTCATTTCCTGTGTAGTGTGGTTCTCTTTGACTTGTTGGCATTCTCTTAAGTACTTCTGTATTGGGGAACTGTTTTCAAAAAGTCGTTTTAACTTCAACTACATTTCTTACATTAAAATGTAAACAATTAAAAATATATATAATCCTTCCCAAACAGCACTTTATAACTTTTATCTGCTAGTAATACAAATACAATTACACTGTAACTTACATTCTCAGATAAGCTATATTAAGATGTAGTTAAGGTTGAGAATGTATATCAATAATCTGGAATAAAATACATCCAGGATGTGGTTATTTTAGAACTGAGCACTGTAAATGCAGGAAATTCAAAACGGTTACACGCTTGCATTGATTTCAAGTGTCTGTTAAGAAATCAGACAAACTTTCCCATGCCTAAACTTTTTCCTTGTAGTGATGTCAAGCAGAAATAATTTGATTATAACCAAGGATCCTGGTTTTCTCTGATTTAAAAAAAAAAAAATCCCCAAGTTTCAGATTAAAAAAAGTAACCCAAAATCAACATTTTTCCATGATTAAAATGAAAGACTACTAATTTATAGATGTGTGTATATAGTGGTATTTCATTTTAATCACGGAAAAATGTGGATTTTGGCTTACTTTTTTTAAACCAAAAATTGGGAATTTTTTTTTTTTATCACAGAAAACCAGGATCCCTAATTATAACTAAACCCATTTATGACCACAAACTCCAAGTTTTAGAAAGACTTTTTTTGATAGAGAATAAGGGAATAAAGTCTAGTGTATCATAAAGGGCAGAGTTAAGGGTGCTTAGCTTTCTCACCTGCTCTTTCCAAGCTTAAACATATTTGTATTTAGTTTTAGAAAAATTATGATTAAACTTTATTTCCATTCTTTTGTTTTAGTATAATTAAACCTCAATATAAACTACTCTCGTTTTACCCTCAAGTATAACTGTTATAAACCTTGTCTCTGTAAGTGCATGTTTATCTGCGGGTTTTATTTTTGTACGATCTCTGAACAGTGTCAGAATGCTACAATTTAGACATTTCTGTGGATTTGAAGATGTATACTTCAGGCTTATTTTTACTTTAAGGTTTTATCTTTTATTAACAGACTTGCCAATATGGCCTGTTTATGCTGTGGTATTCTTTAAGAGGTCAAGGCAACCAGGGTATTCCGGGCAGTTAAGATAGCCAGAATTCTGGCCAGTTTATATATAGACTGTTTTACTAGGATAGTGAAAAGCAGTTAGAATATATATCCCATTTTCCATCTGCTCTCACCTGTTTTCATTGCCTCCATACATCAACTTGCATTTCCCTGTACCCCCTCCACTTTTCTTCACTCCTATCATTCCCATTCCTTGTGCATACACATTCTATTTTCCTCTACACACCCATGATTCCCTTTGCCTCTTCATGTGCTTCAAATTTGAAAATAAGTATTTAGGAATAATGTAATCTTTCCTGTTTCTGCATAAACTTAGCTCCTTCAGCAAAACTTGCAAAGAATTATATTTTCAAAATGCCTGATGTTTCCTATTGTTCTTGCTGGTGTTGATGTCATAGCTGTGTCTGAACGATACCAGTCTCCTGGTTCCCTTTAGAAGAGCAGACTTGGAAGACGGTGGGTGCCCTTCCCATGTTGTCACAAAGTGGAGGATGAATGCTTGGTCCCCCTGAGAATAATGGGAAATAAGTGCACTTCTCAAAACGGGCACCTGAGGGCAGCCTGTGACTTCAGTAGTTTTAGAGACCGATGGGGTAGGGCAACTTTTTGTAGAACTTTGTATAGAAGTACATTATCTTTTAGCCTCTGTTGAAGGAGCAGTTTCATTGAAGAATAATTGTAGAAATTTGCCATGCAACCTTTAAAAAAAAAAAAACATTTTATGCTTAGTTTATTCATTTTTTAATTGACCACTATAAAACTCTTAATTAAAAATGTAATTATAAATTTTCAGAAAAATCATTCTAGAATCAGAGTAAGTTCTGTTTTGGAAAAGAGATTGTATATTTCATCCATAAGAGGTTGAATCCTTTCAAGGCCAAAATTCAGATTAATCTTACCTATACAGTTGAAACTGGTGCCTCAATAATGTAGTATGGGTTGGAAGGATGTTTATCACTCACTTTTGAATCAAATGTACCTGAAAACAGTTAATTTTTTAAAAATAAATACAGTACAGGGTACTTTTATCCTATGACTCTCCACTAGCTGGGTCTTGTAGAGATCCTTGTGCTGGAGCAAAATAATTATTCCATGGAGCAGTTACTTTCCCTATGCTAAAACCTACATTGATCACTAATGGGAATTGTCATAATTTCCTTCCTGACAAAAATATTTTTCTGGTTAAAATATGCTTTGTTGTGATTTGGATTGACAGATGGGAATTGGAGTAGCAGAAGTCATTCTTGAGAGCTATTTAATTGATATTTTTAAGGACAGGGAGAAGTGGATTGACACACAATGGGCTTAGCTTTAACAAGCATTGAGATGGGGACTTTTTTTTTTTATATAAAAACTGTTTAGAAAGTGCCTAGTGCATATTTTTTTAGTCTGTACATGGCTGTCATCAAGAGAGCATATTTTTCCATCAAAATAAAATTCTGTCATGATACAACATGGCACAGTATGAAAGTCATGATGTGGTAATGTAATAACTACATTGGTTGAGAATAAACTTTATGGAAATTAAATGGTACTAAAATAGGAAAATTCTGTAAAACTGTAACAGCCTTAGTTATTAAGAGATTATAAATTATAGTAAATGACTGATGTTACTATGGTTTCTTGAAGGCTAAATACATTAACTGGTAGCATTAAGTAGAGGGAGACTGGAAATTGTTCTTTTAAAAGAGGTTTAAAAAATAATTGATTCTATAAACTTTGCTTATTACTTGTTCTAACTCTCAAAGCAAATTAACTGCAGCTCAGATAAACAAGAAGTCCTGTATTTTTAAAAAGTCTACCATATATTGTGCTCCTGTGCAAGAATATTACTTTTTTGACGTAGCAAATCTGCAAGTCTTGCAGTCCTGTAGTGCCTATGAAGTTCAGCATCTGTACTGCTTAACTACAGAACTGAGTACTTCCAGATGTGCTTTGTTATTGTCTTTGAGGACTTCTTTATTCTTAGGGAAATTTGTGAGGGATTCATTCTCTTTGAACCTAGAGATTATGATGCCAAATTATCCCTCTGACATTTTTAACCAACCTTTATCAGTTTTTTTAGATTTGAGAAGGTAGTTTATATCAACTTGTAAGAGGGCATGGTGGACTTCTTTGGAATCTACTTGTGTACTGAGTGCCACAGGACATGCAATAGAAAAATATTACTTTTCTTTAAATGTGAACTTCTGCAGTGCAGTGCTGTGGGGAAGGAACTTCTAAATGTTACATTCTGATATTTAGGCTAGATATATTATTAAGTTTATGCCTCCAGCTGGCAATGAGCTAGATGTCATTACTTGCTTGGGGGTAAAGAAGAAACTCCCTTATGAACAAGTTACTCCATAATTGCTGAATTAGATTTTTTTTTTTTTTTTACCTTCCTCTGAAATATCTGGTACAGGATGCTCTTGGTGATGGGCTATTGTTCTGGTCCATTAAAACAGAAAAACTTCTAAATATCATTAAAACAGAAAAACTTCTAAACATTTCTATTTCATGTGATTATTTTATACTTACTTCTCTCTAATAATTTTATTTCCCTTTAGCCAAAATTACATGCCATAAATCATGGCACGGCATACTGTGGCAGAGATACTGTGAAGGCCTTACTAGCTCTTTTGGATGAAGAAGCTGTCAATCCTCCTACCAAAAACAAAGCAGAACTATTATATGATGATGAAAATTTAACTTCATTTGGAATCACCTCTGTTTTGACACTGTTCAGGTCAGTGCTAAAAGATCCTTAAAAATGAAGCCTTGTAGTAATTTGTCCCCAGAACAAGAATAATATTCTTGTATAAAACAAAGTATTTAGCAGTGGTCTATTGCATGGGATGGTAGAGAAAGGAGTAGTTCCTTCAGTTTTATCAAAGCTTAGTCTTAATCTCATTTCTTATCTGCTCAGTGGTAGACTACATTTTCATCTACCCTCAAAGTGAATGAGTGTTTTATGCTAAATAATGCAATCTCTCTAGGCAATTTAAAGAGTGTAATCATAGAAAATTAGGGTTGGAAGGGACCTCATGAGGTCATCTAGTCCAACCCCCTGCTCAAAGTAGGAACCATCCCAACTATACCATCCCAGCCAAGGGTTCGTCTAGCTGGGTCTTAAAAACCTCCCACGATGGAGATTCCATCACCACGTCTCTAGGTAACTTATTCCAGTGCTTCACCGCCCTCCTAGTGAGAGACTTTTTCCTAATATCCAATCTAAACTTCCCTTGCTGCAATTTGAGACCACTGGTTGTTGTTTTGTCATCTGTCACCACTGAGAACAGTCTAGCTTAGGGATAGGCAACCCCCGGCACACTTGCCAATTAGTGGCATGTGAAGACGTTTTCCTCAGTACTCCAGGAAGTGTGTGAGGGAATTGTTTAAAAAATAAATAAATTATTTTTAAGTTGCTGCTTCGGACTCTGGAGCAGCCGCAGATCCCAGCACTGTGGCAGGCACCAGGGGAGGGGCGAAGAGAAA